TGATGGATATCCTTAAAATTTAATGTTCTGCCTAGTCAAGTGGAAATAAAGACGTTTTCGTGTTTTGAATCCATGGTGGGGGAATTTGTGCTTCAAGCTAAATCTGAAATTAGAATACTCACAAGATCAGTGGGGAAAAGAATTTGCCTGGCTGAGCTGACATAAATTGACTTTATGCGAACAAACTGATCATGATAAATAATGCTCACAAAAAAAATATAATCCTAGTCTTTGCACTTGTACTAGACAATTTCTGCTTTACCTCTTTGTTAACTGATGAATGAAATGATATTTAATAGCCCACCTCTTTATTTTCTTGATAAATGTTTATATTAATTACTCCACAAATAAAAGTTTTATCCCATGGATTAAAAGGAAACATGATTGGCAATAAAAGCCAATGTACTGCATGTGGATAGTAAAAAGTATGCTGTAGTTAAACGTTGCACAACATAATGTATTTGTATTTTTAAATTTTTTTATTTTATTTGATTATGCACCAGGAATGATACATATTAACTTGCTGTATTTAAACAGAATACAATCAATGTAGTGCTGGTTAGCCCTTTAACACAGAATAAATCAATACAAATATACAATGAAAAGAAAGTACAAAGGGAAACTTGACTGGGAGCATCATCTTGAAATACTTACTTAACACATTTTTACACACACAAAAAAAAATAAATTTTTTGGTGTTTTGTAGCTTGCACAGGAAGTGTGTAATAGTCCAGTCTTTCAAGAAGAAAGGTGTGGACTTATTCTTTTAACCAAAGGTTTTATTGGCAGAACTCAACCCAAGTCAGGTCTCTCAGCAACTTCAGTGTTGCATTTTTACTCCAAACTACTGGAAGCAGCCCATCCAGTCTTAAGGAACAATTGGCTGACATGTGCTCCCTGGGCCTTCCAGGCTGTAAATTCTGCCCCAACTGGTTTCTTCCCATAAAAATAACCTTATTTTCCTATGAATGATTTAGTTTTTTGTAACAATAAACAATAAGTAAATAATAAATAATCTATTTTTTAAATGGTAATCAAACATTTTTTTTTGAGTGTTTTTTTTAATATGTGGACTTACTAATCCTGTGGAGCCCCCTGGTTCAGAACGAGGAAGTCTTGTATCTTTATTTTGAATTAATATACAAGATACAGTCAGCGGAAATTCTCTCACATTGTTTCTTTTAATCTAACTTTTTTAATAAATATAAAAGTTTTGTTTGTGTTGTGTTTTATGTTTTCATCTCCTGAGGCACGGTTGTAACAATTGGGGGCTCATCCGGGATATTCAAAGCTAAAGCTTGGCTTATAATCTGCTTGCTGCTAGGTTGAATTAAATTGCTTTTCTTGACTATCGGCTTTTGTTGGCACTGTGGAGTAATTTTTAGAAGTAACTAAAAATTTGATTAGGCATTTTCTTTAATTTGCAGACCTATTTCTTTAAGATTATATACTTTCATGGTCACATATAGCTGT